CTCACTTTAGGCTGTGTGTACTGTGCAGCTATATAATGCAGGAAAACATGAATATTAAATTAGGGCACGTTATCAGCAGGATTAAATTAGGACTTAGTTCAAAATGTAGACCACTGAATTTGGTTGAAAGTGAATAGATCTCTTTCACAGTTAACGATGGCTCAGTTCCATCAAGTGTGTCTGTAAGCCACAACAGTGAGCCACAACAGTGAGCCAGAACGCACAACAGCAGGACCCTGAAAGTAGCTCACCTAAATGGTCGTTTTTTAATCTTATCACTTACACCTGTGCTTATCCTGCTATGGCATGCCTAGATGTCTGCTGTGAAAATGGTCTCAGTTCTGTCGATATAGGCTGGATAAAACAAAATTCTTCCTACTGTGTTCAGTGTTTAAACCACTCAACATTCACACAGCTGTTTCTATTTCCCTTGGACGACCAAAAATGTCATCAGGATATAGATTATGAAAAATAATTGATAATCATTGGGGATTCTACATATCACAGAACATTTTTACCTCACAAAACATTTTAAAACAAAGCTTATTTATTTTTTCTATAGAAATACGTCTGAACCTGCTGCTAATTGAAATAAAGTCTGCTCTGACTGCACCTTGACAAGAGGTCTAATCAGGCAAAATAAAGTGAAAGCACCTGGGTGGGTGCGCCATTGGTGAAACAGGCCTTTAATTGAAACATGGCTGCTGTGTGCCTGTATATGTCCTCAACCATGCTACAGGAGTGGAGGGGCTGATGAAGATCTTTCCTCACTAGATGGAGCCAAAGTCTAAACTAGATCTAGATGGGTGAGAGAAACTGAGGGGAGAGATGTAGTGTGTGTGTGTGTGTGTGTGTGTGTGTGTGTTGTGTGTGTGTGTGTGTGTGTGTGTTGTGTTGTGTGTGGGTGTGTGTGATGTGTGTGTGTGTGTGCTGTGTGTGTGTGCATAAATGTTTTTGCAGCTTATGTGTATTTCCTGCTCAGCCTATCATTGTTTGGCCTTTGGTGTCTGTGTGTGTGGCTGTTGTCTGTGTGCTGTGGTGTCGTGTGTGTATGTGTGTTAAATCCAGCATTCCAGCTCCAGATTCCCTCTCTTGAGTCCACCTCTATTAACGTTGACATCAGCCTGCTCCTCTTTACTCCCTGTTCTATTCAGACAGCACAAACACACTGTCTAACACACCAACACACACATACACCTCATGCTTCCAGAGGAAAAGCTCAAAATAACAGCACAAACAGAGAAATAGTGGGACTGTAGTGAATGGGGGGTGGTGATGCATTGATGTTTCTTTAGGACATTCATAGAGAAAACATTTCTACGTTTGTGCTGCTTTAGCAAGCTCCCGCAGGACAATTGTTTTAGGCATCTAGTTATTGTTTTAGACTGTAAAACGCACTATAAAGTCATACTGTACTTGACTGTACAGCGGGTCTCTGCTGGTGTCGAGGCAGAAACTGGGTCATATTGATCGTCTGCATGTTTGATTGAATGTGTGGTCTGCACACACAGCGCTGAATGATAAACTCCGCTGCTCATGGAAAAGTTGTCTGCTGTGTGTGTTTTATCTTCTTCAGCAGCTGTCAGGATAAACTTGTGTTTGATTAAAGCTTGCTTTGGTGGGACTTCTCTTTTGGTGAAAGATAGATGGAGTTGTTTCTGCCTCGTTCTGCCTCACTGGCTACTGCAGGTTTAGATCACTGATGGATTTTGTCCCCGGAACCCCCATCTGGACAGACGTTTGTCACTGTTATTGTTGTGGTGTTAAGATGAGTGGTAATAGTGGAACCTGTTTGTTATAGATTGTTAATTAGCAACTGACTAATGAATTAAGCTGATCCTCATTTTGCTGCAGACTCCCCAGTGGGTCCAGGCACAGTCAACAAGGTCCACTGTGAGCACCACAGGTATGATGACGGTGTACTTGTGCTCTATTGATAGGAGCCTAGATTTTTACTTCACTGGAGGGATTTTGCCAGTGAGGAAGGACCCACAGCATGTGACAGCTGACTTACTTCATCTAACTCTTTGCTCCTCTGGTGAGCATAGGCCATTGAGAAATATCCTCCACCTTACTCAGGTTTAGTTGGTTCTTTTGAGATCCCCCCCAGTTGAGCTCCCTCCCAGACATTTCTGCCTCTCCTGGACTGTAACCTTAATGTGGTGGAGAGGCTTGCATGCTCCAGTGACCCTGAAAGCTATGCCAGATGGGGTTTAATACCCCTGGCAGGTTCAACCAGATCGACCAGGTCAAGGGTTGGGAGGCAGTTAACCACCCCGCCCAGGAAAGACGTGTGAGTTACAGAAACCTTGACAACAGTGTGTTGTAATGAATATATAATCTTAAAAATATTTAATAAGCTTGTTAGCATTTGCTAATTAGAACTAAACAGAAAGTGAAGCTGATGGAAATGTTATTAGTTTTGCAGGTATTGGTCAAACACCAAAGTACTGGGCGCATTCAAATGTGGACCTGATGATGGCTCGTTGATGACTGCCAGAAGTTAAGAAATCACCAAAGCCATTACAACTCATCCTGAAGGGGAACATGAATGTTTGCACCAAATTTCATGATAATCCATCCAATAGTTGTTGAGACAGTTCACTTAAACTCACAAATGTGGACCTCATGGTGGTGCTAGCGGAATAGTCAGGGGATCAGCAATCCAAAAGATTCATCCTGAATTCATGGCAATCCATCCAGTACTTGTTAAGATATTTCAGTCTGGACCAAAGTCGACGGACATTGCCATCCATAGAGCAATGAGTATCGCTAGGAACAGGACTGCTTTTTTTAAAGACATTTGGGAAACGCTGATCAAGACTTTTCATAACTTTATGACATTTTGTAGACCAAACAACTAACTGATTAATGGGGAAAGCGGGTGACAGATTAACTGATAACAAAAACTGTTAGTTGCTGCAATAAATTGATGTGCACATTAATTGTTCTTGGAGGATGAACTCCAGTATTTTTTGGTGACCTGCTGACCTTTACCCAGGGGTCAAGCCAAAGTATCAAATGGTGCAAAAATATTATATATCTAAAAGGCATTAATCCTTCTCAGAGGAGAAGACCGTCCTGGATCCTTCCTCCAGCTCCACCTTCAGGCCAGTTGCCATGACATTTACTGAGTCTGTTTCTTTTCCCAAGGGGGTAACATTTGTTATCATTTTAATGACCCAATGACCTTTAGTGCTGTCCTCAGGACAAACTTTATATGTTTAACTTCACTGCTGGTAAGGCTGTGAGAATAACAAAAATATCAGTATGCTGATTGTTCCGTCTAGCAATACAGTGTATTGTTTGACTAGGGTTTTATGTCCAGACTGCTGCCAGCAGAGCTTTAGGCTTTTTTTCTTGTTGATTAAAAAGAAGATGGTAGGGAAGTCATGCACTCTTGTGCTAACAGGGAGCATGCCACCTCTTATCCATCCCCGCCTCCTTCAAACTGTCTCCTGGCCTGAGCACAAAGTGAACATGACTTTTTATAGCAATCGACTGCACGCCAGCCCCAGGGATGATTTTCTCTGTTTGACTTATACTCTGCCCCCTCACCTGAATAAGGAGAGGACGGCGCTGCTCTGGTGAGTGCAGAAAAAAAGGAGGGCAGCTCCCAGCATGTGTTGGGCTATTACTTTCACTTTTTCTGCATGGTTGTGCGTGTCAGCGATCCATCCTGCATATGACGACACACTGGATCGTCTATACCTGTCTGTGCATACTGCTCTACAGTATTATACCACAGGCCTTTGACAGTAGGCTCAGATCAAAGTAGAGATAGGAGGAGCGGAAAAGAGTCGGAAAATGAAATGAAGGCGGACACAGACTGAAGGTGGGAAAGAGCTGAGAAGAGAAATGATAGGAATGAGGAGAAAGAAGAAGATGAAGATGGATTGTGAGGGGAAGAGAAAAAGCAGTGCATGTGTGTGTATGATGAACCTGAGTCACTAGCTGATTGTACATCTGAGCACGTTCCTCCCTGTTACCATCCAACACATTTCCTAGAATAGAGCAAGCAGGCTATTAAAGAGATGGGACA